CGGGCGGCACGCCGTCTGTTACCCGGTGGGCGTGTCGGGCGGCACGCCGTCTGTTACGCGGTGGGCGTGTCGGGCGGCACGCCGTCTGTTACCCGGTGGGCGTGTCGGCCGGCACGCCGTCTGTTACCCGGTGGGCGTGTCGGCCGGCACGCCGTCTGTTACCCGGTGGGCGTGGCGGCCGGCACGCCGTCTGTTACGCCGTGGGCGTGGCGGGCGGCACGCCGTCTGTTACGTCGGGTGGGTTGCCATGTTGAGCGCACATTATATTTCCCACAATTTAAGCTTCTGCATTTTCCAAATGCAATAGTATTACTCACACGTATTGTTCGGTTCGCAATGCGTACCGAACGGTTCAATACGAATACGTGTGTAATAAGTATTTGGACGGTGACACATTTTTCTAATTTTGCCTCTTTTCACGACTCCAGTGGATTTTAAAGGAAGCAGTCAATGTGTGGTTGAAGTGCAGACTTTCAGCTTTAATTCAATGCATAAAATATTACATGAACTGTTTAGGAATTATGGCCATTTTTATACAGTCCCCCACATTTTCCGAAAATACCAAGTCTATTTACCTTTTATGAAACTTATTTTTCCAGACTCCTTTTCTTCTGTTTTCATCTTTCTGATCTTTGTGTTTTGCGGTTTAAGCACATTTTGTCATCAGAAAGCGTCTCATTGTCTGATCGATGCATGAAATGTCAACAATTCATGAGAACATGTAATGAATTTGATGTAATTGTTTTTCATCAAATAAAACAAAACATTCCATCCTTTTGTAAAATGTAGCAGTAAATTGAATGTCTTGCCCCTCCCCCAAGGTTCTCCTCAGCACGTTCCTGGCGCTCTCATTGGCTGGAGGTCAGATCTTTCGACTGCTAGGTGATGCATCTTGGAACATCGAGCGCCAAGCCAACGTCAGTTTGCCTCTGATCTGGGGCTTCTGTTGGGAAGCGAGTGAAGACTCTGTGCTAGGGTTGTGTAGTGTGTCCCCGTGATGGAAACCAAAACATAAGCATCGTTTTTCCTGTTCATTCGGCTTTGTGAAGAATCTGCTTACAGTGGCTGATTGACTAATTGTCAAAGAGAAGTTGTCCACATCAGATCATACTGTATTTAACAGCTGCAGTAAAGTGTTCCCATCCAAACAGCCCTCTGTAGGTCATGTGCTCTGATTATTTGCTGTTGTTACTATCAGAGCTCCGGAGCCCAGAACGTGGTATTCAGGACAGACCCACACCAGACATGCTGACTGTGCCACCACAAGTCTCTTGATTTTTTGCTCTGTTTATTCTCCCCTCGCAGCAATGATCGGGCTGCTGTACCCCTGCATTGACAGCCGTCTGGGGGAGCCACACAAGTTCAAGCGGGAATGGTCCAGTGTGATGCGCTGCGTGGCTGTGTTTGTGGGCATCAACCACGCCAGTGCTGTATCCTTAACGTGTTGGGCTTTGTGCATCTGCTGTTCTTTAATACTTCTATATGGTGGGTTGCAATGTTTCTCCCCCTGAGTGTCTGCCGTACGTCACTGTTTAATTAGAGCAATGCAGAGCTTTCATTAACTGGTGTAACACTGACTGGATATGGACCTCCACAGCACGGCTGCCCTGTAACACAGCTGTGTGAACTAGTTTGGAGCTACCAGCCACTCACTGCTTGGTCCTTGACCCTACCTCTGTCAGAAAGTGGACTTTGCCAATAACGTGCAGCTGTCTCTGACTCTGGCGGCGCTGTCCATTGGTCTGTGGTGGACCTTTGACCGCTCCCGCAGCGGCTTTGGCTTGGGGGTCAGCATCGCCCTGTTGGCGACGCTGGCCACCCAACTCCTGGTTTATAATGGAGTCTTTCAGTAAGTTCACATTTAAAAAGCTTTATTGGCATGACCGTACTGAATATGTCTCTATGTTCCCTGTTTCTATGGCCGGGCTGTGAGCGCTCAGGCTCTACTTTGTTCAAATGTTTCTCATTTGTTGTGGAAGCAAACGAATGAAAGCAGAGGAACATGTACAGAAAGGAAGAGGAGCATACAGGCCATATGAGACGGAACCAGATAGCAAACAGACAGTTATTTTATGTGTATCAAGGATTGTTTTGCAAGATTGTAATAGCTAACCTACGCTTTGGCCATAAATGTTGTTCTATGGCAGCACAGGTTTCCGTTACTGTATCTGACTAAATCCTCCACCAGCAATGCTGATGCAATTTCTTGTCTCATTGTATTTGTGAATTTCTCTTGTAATTTGCATTTGGCAGCTTTCCTGTCTTGGATATCTTGTGTATTTGACCTTTTATTAAGCAGTCAGGCTCACCAAGATAACCACAGATGAAGGGTAAGGTTTGGCATGCATTGCTGCCAGAACTAAGAGCTGCTGCTTCTTCTCTGCACAGGTATACTTCACCAGACTTCCTGTATATTCGCTCCTGGTTACCTTGCATCTTCTTTGCAGGCGTGATAACGATGGGAAACATAGGACGGCAGCTAGCCTTGGTAAGAAACTGGAATCTTTTCAGAAATTCTACTTTACTCTGTTGAATTAGTAATGAATTCATGCTGGACTGTAAAGCGAACAGATGAGTGTCAGATCAGCAGGCAACCTCACTTAGAAGTGAAGCCAAAGCTTCATGTGTTAAAGCTGCATTCTCTCTAGTGACCACCAGGGGGTGACTCCTCTGGTTGTATAGAAGTCTCTCTTGATTTATTACCTCAGTAAACATGAGTTTATGGTCTCAATCTCTAGTTTCAAGTCTTCTTCAATACAGCATGATGTTCATTTAGTACGTTATGGTCCATTTAGAGTCAAACAGACCATAAAGCAGGGGATGCTTTAGGGCGGGGCTACACAGTGATTGACAGGTCTACCAGAGACTTATATGGCGTCTCTACATCACTCCTCAGTCCAGACATGTCATTCTGTTTACTGTTTGCAAAAAACCAAGACAGGCAAAATGAGGCTGAACTTGCGGCTTCAAACCCACAGTCCATAAAACAAATGGTGATGTCACGACGACTACGTCCACTTCCTGTATACAGTATGTGCCAGAGGTGCATCAGTGTCCTCCAACACAGAGAACCTGCCATGAGAGTGCTTCCAGCTGTTCTGTGTCTAATTGTATTTCCTGCTTTTTGTGTGTTTTTTCAGTATGAATACAAGTTTGTTCAGGAGAAGACGCATCAGGACTGAGGGATCTCACCAGGCCTCTGCTCAGAACAACGTTGTCTTTGCACCGACCTGAGAGCAGAGGGCGTCTGCACGCAGCATAAACCAGGACTGGCTGTCCCTGGAGGAGCCAGTTAGGCATGTCAAAGACACCCGAGGTCCTGATTGGCTGCCTGGTGCTTTCTGCTGGACAACACAGTATTTTGATTGGCAGATGCTGGGACGTCTGCTGGCTGTATTGTTACCTGAGCTGAACAATGATAGCAGAGGTTCTTGTGTGTTTTTCTTCGGTGCAGTTTCTCTCTGCTTACCTGGGAAGAGATTAGCAGCGGAGCATCTATCGCTCTTCAGATCAGCTGGAATGTTTGAAACCTTTGGCTTTGTTGTGCCAAACACAGAACGGAGGGGAGGGATCAGGGATCAGGTTTAAAGTCAGCTCTTATCTCCAGAGTCTTTCACATATCAGTGGAGAACACACAGCTGGAAAAGATATCTCTATACCAAACAGTTTATTGTGTATAATTAACTTATATCTACATTTAGCTTTCTTGATAGAGTGATGTGTACTGTCTGTGAGAACAAAGTGTGTATTTCTACCAGTCCTGCTCATCACCAACATGTATGAACCATCTGATCCATGAAGGACGCTGCAGAGCTCTGAGGCTTTGGTTTGTGAGGGATACATTTAGACTGAAGTCAGCCAGCAGCTTTAATCCAGACATCAACACAGGCTTCACTTTAAAGCACATTTTCTGAATGAATTCACTCATTGTGGGACCGTTTCTCTTTTAAAACCCTTTTATCATTTCTCATATATATATATATATATATATATATATATATATATATATATATACACTCATTTATTTTTACTCTCGTGTGTGTGTTTTCCTGGTCAAAGTAAATCTGCTATCTTCCCACAGAACCGCAGTGATCACATCTTCAGCTTATTGTCTTCTAGAACATGTTGGTTATCTTTGTTGAACTCTAGGTGTTGAATACCTCAAATATATGCCCTCTGATGATACTGTAGATCAGTAGGAAGAACAGAGATGTGTAGAGATAGATGAACTAACACGCAGTGGCATAGAACTAACACAAAGTCATAAGTGCATCATGTTTGCACTGTGTTATTCAGGGTACTGATGGTGTTCTCCTGAGATGCTCTGAAGCACGTTGGATCTACAGTAAGACATAATTCACTGTATCAGCGCTTCTCATTTGAATGCAGCTGCATTACTTCTAAGATGTCCGCACAGTGTTACCGTCTGTGTGCAGTAGGTGTGAGCTGGGTGGACGGATTGAGAATAATCTGCTTTTATTCTGTAATCTGAGGTATGAGCGGATCCTTTAAGGGACATTTCTACAAGCATCTGTAATACATCATGATGGGTAGAGTTACAGCATTTAAACTGTTAAACAGTGTTTTTGTAATCCTGTGATATACGTTAGGTAATGAGGGAAACATGGAGAAACCTTTATTCTGCTTTCTTAGAGGGTAACATTTTATATCACCTCTGCAGCAACTTTGAAATAATGACAAATGATCCTTCTAGCAGCCAAACAGGGACTCAGTCTCCGCTCACTGGAGCAGCCTGTGGAACCTGCACGTGTGTTATTAAAGAAAATGGCCTTCTGGGTAACTGCCTCTGGTTTCTGTTCATGTCTCATCCAGAAAGGAACACGAGCTGCTGAACTGCAGCCAAGTATGTTTCGTGGAATATTTAGCAGGATGAGCGATCTGCAGAGAAAACACCCTGTAAGGGTTAAAATCAATAAAGAGTAAAGACTGTTTCTAACCTTCATACTTCAGAAGTCCTCCGTGAGATCAAACATGTTGGTCCTGCTGCCGAGATGGTAATACAAGTTACAAACAACCCACAGAAGATATATCACTATATTATATTACAATATTATTATATTATATCACTATATTATATTACAATATATTATTAT